GAACGAGCCCCGCAGCTCGGTACTCGCTGTCCTGCTGGCACTCAGAGCACGGGGTTCGAGGCCAGTAGGGGGCGAGTGTGTGCCACGGGGCTGCCATCAGGCAGTGAAAAGGCAACACGAAGCGGTAGGGAGCAAAGTCTGCCTCAATGATGACGACACCGGGTTCGGCGATGATGTGGCTCGCGTGTGAGCTGGGGAACTGGGAGGGAAAAGGGATCGCGCTTAAGGCCCGTTTGATGTCCCACTTATAGACACGTTCGTTTCCCGTCCGAAAGGGGAATTTTGGAGGGTTGGGACGGGGTTGTGCGCGAAGACAGGCAGTTTTTCACTCCCAGTATTCTCGGAACCGTCGATGTCTCAGGCTTTCCTGATTTGTGACAAGGAAGGGAGTCCCATCACCCATGCTAACGAAATTGTGCGAGTTTAGACATGGACTCTAGCGCCATGCGAATTTCCAAGATAAAGGTTTATACATCAAGCCATGTAACTGAAGGAGATCACATCATCATAACCCAATCTCACCGGGTCATATGCAGACAATCTTCGTACCCGATCTCAATGTACTGCAACAAAACAGGAATGAGGAGGGAAAATCAAGTCGATCACTGAGAAAAACACGAACCATAGATAGTCAGGAGCACAAAGGGCCGACGACACTTGTCAAAACTACATAGACGAGGGAGAAAGGGACACCATCCCACTCATAAGATCCGGAGGTTGATAGTTCCCTAATGAGGAGCCCATCCAACCCGAGCGCAGAATGGGGACTAGAAAGTGATGAAATTTGAATTAAACTAAGAGTTCATTCCACACACACCATAAGTAGAGAATCCAAGGGGATTCAAAAGAAGATCAAACGGTCGTAACAAGATCAGCCAAGGTTGCAATAAAAATTTATACAAAGAATTAGAGAATGGCATCATCCCATACACACATTTCTCCCTCCCTCTCTCTCTCTCTCTCTCTCTCATGCTACATCACCTCCGATGCGGGCAGTCCGTCGCCTCGCACCAACACTGAGTCGTCACCCCGCTTAGTCCGAGTACACAATCCAAGTTCGCCCCCGCGTCACGGTCCGTCGTGGCCCGCACGTCAATCCCGCCTACTCGGCACCAGCTCGTCGGGTCGCTCGACTCACTTCTGCTCATATTCTCACATACTTGTTAGTCGATCCTCACTGACCTCGCTAACTTCCAAATTCACAGAGAGTAAACTAATCACGCTTGTGAAATTTATAACGTGCATAGTTGCGTGATGACCCCGAGATTATGCCTAAGTGAGGGGAAGGGGGAAGAGAAGGAAGTGCCTACGCCTGCATGGCCAAGCCGCAGCGTGGGGGATGCAACCACACTCCACGCATCGATCCGGTCATGCAGTCGCTCAGGCCAATTAGACTGGAGGACGAGGTATCCACGACAGAGGGGAAGAAGGTTGGGAAATACGAGAGAATCGAGAAGGAGTACAGTTACAATCTCGCCCGCCAAACATTACAGTTACATGCAGGATTAAGGGCGCGATACAGTCAGAGTCAATTCCCACTGCGGTGAGGGGTGCGTGAGCAAGAAGCGCGGCGCAACAAGGTTTCCAAGCACCTAAATTCCTAGTCTAAATCCTTTTTGCAAAAAGAAATTCTGAAAAAACAATTTCAAGAGCCCGTCATCAGTTGTAAATTTGAAAATGACATTCCCGCGCACTAATCGCGTCAAAATTCCCATCTCCCACAACAGAATAAGAAAGAAGCTATGACAACCGTTATTTATCACGCTCACTAAGGCGCGGTCACTCAATCGTCGTCGCGCGACTTTCCTGGGCCTGGTCCCGACAGCAAGAAAAAGAAAGAGGCGAGGGTATCCACGCAACTTGTCCGACCAACCCCTATCTTCCACCCGACCAACCAGTTTCCAACTCGCGAAGCCGCTTCGCGCAGAAAATTGTGCGACTGCAGAAATTAGTTTGTCACAACCCAGCCTGAAACTGGGTGACTCGTAAACTGACCTGGAAAGTTGCACATACCTCGTTTGCGGCACAGATGGTCTGAGACAAAGGATGGAGAGATGAACAAAGCTTGGCGAGTATGGAAAATGTGGAGCGATACACCGTGACTTTACGTTCTGGCTGCATCACAGCTGCCATGGAAACTTGTCTTTTTTTTTCCCTCTCCTTTTCGAAAATGGGGCAACGACCGAGCATTTTGCGAGTAGCTGCGCTTTTGCGTTATCCGCCCCCCCCCCCCAACCGTAGGGCCCACCCTACTCTCTAACCACCGCCAATTAGGGAGGGGGGCAATGTGAGAGGTAGCTATGTTTGCAAGGGTCCCCTGTATAGGCTTAGGAATAGTGGTAGGTAAATAGTGAAAGGTGAAATTGAGAGAAGTTGTCCATCCTTCGATGAGCTACAAAAAGCAAGAGACTGCCTCCAAGACTACATAGACCACCAAACACAAGCTTGGAGGACTCATCCTTGCGTCAAGCGGGAACACACGCACAACACGATGTCGAAAGCCTTCTTTGACATGGCCAAAGCACGGACAAGAGCCAACACGGTCCCCAGACTCAAGCACCCCTTCCAAGAGGATGCTCTGGTGGCAACAAATGCCTATACGATAGTGGACTTTGCATCTTAATACTATCAAAACCTGTTCACATCGCAACCCCCCCCCCCCCCCCCCCCCCCCCCCCCCACCAGGTCAATCAAGCACGAGAGCAACTGTTGCAGGTGATTCAGACATGCCTCATACGTGCTAAAAAAAACCAATTGGACAATCCGCTCACTGTGGAGGAAGTCAAGGAAGCCCTCGACGATATGGATGATAAAAAAAACCCTGGGGTGGACCCCTTTTCCAAGGAGTTCTGGGTCCAGCTGTGGGACTTGCTGAAAGATGACCTGATGGAGTTCATTGAAGCAATCCAACGAGAAGGCTCGTTTAGGGGAATGATGGGCCAAGGGGTCACGACACTATTATACAAAAAGGGGGACAAGGAAGAAATTAGAAACTACAGACCGATCATGCTCCTGCCTGTCCCCTATAAGCTAGTGGCAAAAACATTGACCAGAAGACTGCTGCCGTTTATGAATCTGCTCATACATCCAGACCTGTCGGGCTTCATGCCCAACCGGAACATCTAGGACAACATATTGCTAGTCAATTAGACGTTAATCAAATACGAGAAGGGTCCCGGCAGCAGTGCTCTTCATAGACTTTGAAAAAACCTATGACCACGTTGATTGGGACTTTTTGGACATGTGCCTGACCAGGATGAACTTCGGGCCCGCCTTCAGTCACTGGATACAACTTCTTCATAGGTCAGCGTCAACGAATATGATGCTAAATGGCCACTTGGCATCCCCTTTCGCCCTCCAGAGATCAGTGCGCCAAGGGGACACGATACCGCCCTTGCTGTTTGTCATTGTCATGGAAGCCCTGACCTCACTCATTAGAGTCCAACCTCGGATCCAGAAAGTACCAATCCTGGAACTGCCAGCACACCGGGTCATGATGACATCTCTGTTTGCAGATGATCTCACAGGACTAATCCGAGCAGACGAGCAAAGCCTTCAAGCACTAACAGAGGTTATTCACCAATTCTCGTTAGCTGCCGATTGGAAGGTCAATTGGAATGCTAAAACTGAAGGATGATGGCTGTACCCTCTTGACGAAAAGCCCCCCCCAGAACCACCGATCGCATGGACAGCGAAGGAAACAACAATCAGAATCTTGGGTGTAAAGCTAACAGCATTGGGACCTCCACCAGATCACGGAGAAAACTTGGTCAACATGGCGATTGATAGGATGGCCAGATGGGAGAACTTGCACACGTCCCTTGTGGGACGAGCGCTAGCAATCAACAATTTCGTTCTTGCAGCGATCTAGTATAAGCTTGGGGTATGGCCCCTCAACCAAAAGCAATATGCCAGACTCAGGCGTGCCCTGACGACCTTTATGTGGAAAAACAAAGCTCAAACCCAAGGAACCCTGAACATAGTAAAATGGGATATACTGACACAACTAAGATCCAATGGGGGGCTGAGGATACTTGACCCGGAGAGAGTGAGCGAGACCCTCATCTTTAAAGTACTGGTTAGACTCCTCATAGCCGATGACTTTCTGTGGGCGCCATTGGCCTGTTTGCAGATTGCAAACTTGGCCCCGGAGTCACCGACCGAAAATCGTGTGCACCCCTCTCAATGGCTAACAAATGCACATTGGTCCATACCTGCTCCATCGCACCACCACCAACAGCCAGAGAACGAGGTGCAGGCCACAAAACAAGATATATCCAAAGATCCACTGGGGCCGTGCATGCTGAATCTCTGGAGAAGCATGAGACCAAAACAGAAACGTCCCCCCTGCAGCTGGCAGAATATATGGCAACAACCTCTCTTTGGCAACCCCTACATACTTGATGATAACGGGAACCCCTTCACTCTCAAGGCTAATTCGTTGTGGCTCAACTAGGTCAAGCGGGGCATATACACTATAGGTAACTTGTGGGACGCAACAAGAGGGGACTGAATTACAGACCATCAACTGCAACAAAACTTGAAATACACTAAACACATGTCAGCCAAACTAGGAATGCTGCGGGAGGCCATACCACTGACCTGGCAACTTGCCCTGAAAAGAGGGCCCTCAGTGCAACCAGGTGATTGGGTGGTCAAACGTGCTGACCTGCCACTACCGCTCATGATCTATAAAGTGGAAACAAACAACCAAGGAACATGCACGCTGGAAGCTGACATCCCAGGACTGTCGGGTGCGAAGGTGTCACAGTTAACAAAGAACGAAGAATTGGACTGTAAAGAAAATTGGGAGGCCCTCATGCACATGAGAGTGATGGGGAATCAAGAAGAGGGATTCTTCGCTTACGAGCCCTCAACCCCGATTGCAGCCCCGCCTTTCGATCCTGAGGAGTGGGAATGAGCGAACGGGGGCCACAGACAATCGACACCACAACAGTAGATTGGGCCTACCATTATTGCAAGATGGACCAGGGACTCACCCATCGACTCGGCCCAAGTGCAGAACCTGCCATAACAGCCATTTCGTCAAAACGGACATATTATATTTTTTGAACGAAATCAAAACTGACTTTTTTTGCCAAAACCCGGTTGGAAGTTTTTGCTCCTAGGGGTCCGGCGTTCCCAAAACGCCGGACCCCCTATATGTATCTGGTTTATGGTTGACACCAAAAAAAAAAAAAAAAAAAAAAAAAAAAAAAAAGGTTTTTTTTTCTTTTTCATCGATCAAACCACGCCACGCCGTGCCATGGCTGGAAAAAAAAAAAAAAAAAAAAAAAAAACCAACAAAAAAAAAAACAATAAAAAAAAAAAAAAAAAAAAAAAAAAAAAAAAAAAAAAAAAGGTTTTTTTTTCTTTTTTTCTTCTTTTGGTATCTGGTCTCAACCATATACCAGATACATGTAGGGGGTCCGGCGTTTTGGGAACGCCATACCCCCAGGAGCAAAAAATTTCGACCGGATTTTGACAAAAAAAGTTAGTTTTGATTTCGTTCAAAAAATATAATATGTCCGTTTTGACGAAATGGCTGTTCCATGGTATACGTATTCTAAGATCATGCCCACCAATCTTAAATCGTTGCAATGGCAGATCCTGCACAGATGCCTACCCACGGCAGATTGGCTGGTGACCAAGACTAACTTGGAACAGAAAGGGCTACTATCCCCGATCTGGTCCTACTGCGGAAGAGTTTCACCCCTGGCTCCAGCGACACTTGAACATTGCCTCTTGGCTTGATCTGGCGGTGGTGGGATGCAGCTGGTGGTGGTGGGATTCCACTCCCTCACCGCCCACCACATTCCCTAGGAATAGGCCTGCTGCTGCTGGGCAAGAAAGAGAACGTCCCAAAACAGTGGCCTGCGTTTGCAGTCAACCTGTTATTAAATACAAGGCTCCATGTGCTAATGCTTGCGTGGCGTGCAAGGTGCTCCTTCGAAAGGAAAGAACATTAGTGCCGATTGCAGCAGGCCCACCAAGCATTGGAAGACGTGATCAGAACCCTGACACACGAAGCATGGAAGGCCATCAAACATCAATATACAAACGAGAAAGAGCCGCAGGCAAGACTGACCATCAGGGAAACCTACTTACAGACATGGCAGGACCCTCTCAAGCTATTCAGTGAGGTAGATACCGAACTGAATATCACTTGGAAGCCTTGGAGGAGTACTGAGCACACATGGACTAGGAAACCCCTGACGGAGTTTCAAATCCCTTACCGACGAACTAACTTCATCGTCCTACCGAATCCGCCACCACCACCCATACCCCCCCTCCAAACACCACCCCCCGTCCCCCCAATCTCCCCACTTGCATCCTCCCTTCCTCCCCGATGCACTTTCCCCAGCCCGACCCCCGGACCTCGAACGGATATGACAGGATGAAGTCTAAATAAGGGTATGACAGTCCCACAAGCGTTCACTTACGACAGCCGGCGAGTAGAAGGTCCCAAACAGTCATTGTGCAGTGGGCGACATCCGCAGGCCGCAATCTCGATGACAGTGACAAGACTCAAGCAGGATATGCACCCTAGGCCAACTCGACAGAGACTGCCATGCATGTAAAAGGCGCCAGAAGGAGGATTCGACGCCTGTGAGTCTGCACGTTCACACGGTTTGAGAGACTCTTTACTACAAAGATAAAGAAGACCAGGTCCAATGGATATGACAAAGGAGGGAAGGGTTGATAATAATGTTAGGCATTCCTGTATGCACACCTGAGCCAACCTGTGGACGGACTTCTAAGTCACTCCCTCTACACGATCGAAATTTCTTTGATGACAATGCCATATTGAATAATTGTAATAAGGGATGTTGGGCCCGTTTCTCAGCAAGTGCATCTTCCCACCAATAGATGGAGCCGCCCTGGGACAGCTTGAGGTGCCTTCTCCTACCAGCATCTCAAGCTGTCTTACGTGACCGATTCTTAAAATAAACTAGCTAAGCGCCCGCGGTGCGGGCGGTGCGGGCAATACCCGAAAAAAAAATAAAAAAAATAAAAAATGTAGGCCCAGACCAACTGCCCAAAAGAAAAACTAAGGCCCACACCATGCTTCACCACACTCAAAACGCGCACTGCGGCAACTAAGAAGTGCGCATGAATTTTATTTTTTTCCTAACGAATAGTCAAGAGTATTATTCTTTTTCCGTTTTTTTAACAGGCTAGGCGGCGGGCTTCCTGTTACACTTGGATCCATATCTTGCTTCGACACACACGAAACCCTCACCGACCCGCTAAAAAGTGCACGTGAATGTTTTTTTTTTTCCCAATATATATACTGAGGAATATATGGTTTTTTTTTTTTCAAGTTGCGGGGG